CATGCCTGTAGTCCCAGCTACTTTGGAGGCTGAGGCGGGAGTATCCAGTGAGCCCAGCAGTTGAGACTGAGTGAGCCATGATGGTACCACTGAACTCCAGCCTGGGCAACAGAATGAGACCGTGTCTTTATTAAAAAGTAAAAGTTTTTAAAAGGCAGACAGAGGAAGAAAGACATAGAGGAACAAAGATAAGAATATACACAAACTCTTAATATATACTATACAAAACAAAATCTGTTTAAAAGATAATCAGAAGGTAAACCACACAAAAATAATGTGTGGTTTATAATATATGTAGGAAAATGTGTGAGAACAATACCATGAAGAATGTAAGCAGGGGGAATGGAAGTATATTGTTGTAAGGTTCTCTAAAACTATACCTAAAGTGATACTATATTATTTGAAGACTGATTGTGATATGGTAGAGATGTATAACACAGAACAGAATTCAGCAAACTATGACCTTCAGCAGTGCTCCTCAACATTTTTGGCAGCAGGGACCAGTTTCGTGCAAAACAGTTTTTCCATGGTACCAGTCTGTGTCCTGGGGGTTGGCGACCCCCTGACCTACAGGCCAAAGCCAGCCCATTGCTTATTATAAATAAAGTTTGTTGGAACACAGCCATGCCTATTTATTTGTATATTGCCTGTGGCTGCTTTTGCACCACAGTAACAGAGTTTATAGTTGTAACAGAGTTTATAGTTGTAACAGAGATCTTATGACCCACAGAGTCTAAAATATTTAATACCTCAGCCTTTACAGAAAAAAGTTTAGCAATACCTGCTCTAGAGTAATGCTTAAAAAAAAATAAAATAAGGGCCAGGCCTGGTGGCTCACACCTGTAATCCCAGCACTTTGGGAGGCCAAGGCGGGCAGATCATTTGAGACCAGCCTGGCCAACATAGTGAAACCCTGTCTCTACTAAAGAAAAATTAGCTGGGTGTGGTGATGGGTACCTGTAGTCCCAGCTACCCGGGAGGTAGAGGCAGGAGAATGGCTTGAACCCAGGAGGTGGAGGTTGCAGTGAGCCGAGATCACACCACTGCACTCCAGCCTGGGCAACACAGCAAGACCCTATCTCAAAATAAATAAATAAATAAATAAAATAAATTGTATTTAATAAGTCAACAGCCGAGATTAGCTTGGGCATTGTGGCTCAATCCTGTAATCCTAGCACTTTGAGATGCTGAGATGTGAGAATTGCTGGAGTCCAGGACTTCAGGGTCAGCCTGGGCAACATAACGAGACCCTGTCTCTACCCTGCCCCCCAAAAAAAAATTATCCAGGCATAGCTACATGTGCCTTTAGTCCTAGCCACTCAGGAAGCTGAGGGAGGAGGATCACTTGAGCCCAGGAGATCAAGGCTGCAGTGAGTTGTGATCACACCACTGCACTCCAGGCTGGGAGACAGATTAAGACCCTGTCTCTGAAAAATAAAAGTGAGAAAAAAAATAGAGATTAAATTAAAATAAATAGTGATTAAATGAAAAAATCCTTTTTAAAGAGATTAAAAGATAGTAAATCTAAAAAATGGCAAGAATAGAGGAAAAGTAGAAGAAAGAACAGTAGGGTCAAATAGAAAATAAGTAGTAAGATGGTAGACATATACTCAGCCATACTTATAATTACATTAAATACAAATAATATATACACTTTAATTAAAAGACAGAGATTGTTAGATTGGATAAAATAGCAAGACCCAACTATAAGCTTTCTGCAGGAAACTCACTTTAAATAAAACATGGATAAGGTAAAAGGATAGGGAAAGATACACTATGAAAACATGTCACACAAAGGCTTGTATGCAAATAATCATAAAAGCTTTATTCATAGTAGCCAAAACCTGGAAACAACCCAGATGTTCATCAACAGGATAAACAAGTTGTGGTTTGTCTATGCAATGACACCCTTCTCAGGAATACAAATGAATGACTACTAATGAACTAGTTAATTGATGAACTACTAACAACAACATAGGTGAATCTCATAATCATGCCAAGAGAAAGAAGCCAAATACAAAAGGGTCCATAGTGTGATTTTATTTATATATAACTCTATAAAACTCTAATCTGTGGTGACAAAAATCAGATCAATGGTTACCCAGGGATTAACTGGGATGGGGATCAGAGAATTTGGGGGAATCAAAAATGTTCTTTATTTTGATTCTTATGTCAAAACTCATCAGATTTCCATTTTAAATAATGTATTTTGTTATTTATAAGCTATGTCTCAATTAGGGTTATTTCTTGAAAATTCAAATCATGAAAGATTTTAGTGTGAAGATTTTGTGTATAATGTAGACCTTATCAGTTACTAGAATAGACAAGGAAATAAGATGTAGATGTCTACAACTACAACTATGGAAAACTTGATGCATTTTGGATTTCCAAAACATTAATCTCACACATTTCCTATAAACTCTTTGATTAGTAGGGATATAAATCCTTAGAAGCATAATAGAATGTAATTTTTGACTCATTTTATTTTTAAAAATTGTTTTTAGAAGCCAGGCATAGTGGCTCACGCCTTTATTCCCAGCACTTTGGGTGGCCAAGGCGGGTCGCTGCTCAAGCTCAGGAGTTCAAGACCAGCCTGGGCAACATGGTGAAACCCTGTCTCTCAAAAAAAATATATATATATAGCATGGCATGGTGGTGCGTGCCTATAGTCCCACTAACTTGGAAGGCTGAGGCAGGAGAGTCGCTTGAGCTTGGGAGCTCGAGTCTGCAGTGAGCTGTGATCATGCCACTGCACTCCAGCCTAGGTGATAGAGCAAGACCCTGTCTCAAAAAAAAAAAAGTTTTAGACATGGGGTCCCACTCGGTTGCTCAGGCTGGAGTGCAGTGGCACAATCATAGCTCACTGTAGACTCAAACTCCTGGGCTCAAGCAGTCCTCCTGCCTCAGCCTCCCGAGTAGCTGGGACTACAGACACGTGCTGCCACATCTAGCCAACCTTTGATTCTTCAAAGGAGCTAGTAAGGAAACATTATCATTTATGTATCATGTAGTGTGCTAAGTGTTTTAAATTATTTATGTATTTCACTCATTTCTCACAACAGCTCTATGAGTTAGGGATTAAACCTTTTTTTTTTTTTTTTTGAGACGGAGTCTCGCTCTGTCACCCAGGCTAGAGTGCAGTGCCACGATCTCGACTCACTGCAACGTCCTCCTCCCAGGTTGAAGTGATTCTCCTGCCTCAGCCTCCCTGGTAGCTGGGACTACAGATGTGCACCACCACGCTCAGCTAATTTTTTTATTTTTAGTAGAGACAGGGTTTCACCATGTTGGCCAAGATGGTCTCAATCTCTTGACCTCATGATCTGTCCACCTCAGCCTCCTAAAGTGCTGGGATTATAGGCGTGAGCCACCACGCCTGGCCAAAGCCCATTTTATTATATGAAAAAAGTGAGACTCAGAGAAGTTACATAATATGCCCAAAATTACAGAGCCAAGATTCAGTCCCAGGTTTGACTCCAAAGCCTGTTTTCTTTCTTCAGTGCTAATATCATCTTTAAATGCTTAGTTGCTTATGTAAAACATTTTGATTTTTAAAATGCATTTTAAAAAAAATGTATTTGAAAATTATTGCGAAAGAGGGTTATTCTGATGTTTGTTTTACTAGGGCCCTACAAATCAAGAATACTGAGGGAAAAAATAAGGAAATAGGCATGCTATGCTATACTTTTGTAGAAGATCCCTTCAATTTTATAACTCATAATAAACTTTCCCTTCATAACATTTTGTTATAAAATCTTAAACAACAGAGTTTTGGTTCTGTCTAGCCAAGCTCATGAAGACATTCAAGAGAACATGAATTGTTTTTGATAGAATGCTAACTGAAGAATGACGAGGTTCATGAATTTGGAAAGGAGACGTATATTTCTCATAAAGGTTGCAGCCTGCAGGGTGGCCATTCTGACAGGCTGGGAAGTGTAGCCTCTATTCAGAAGCCAAAAACAGACACTTTGAGGAATAGGCAAAAAGAACAGGAATGCATGCTGAGCAGGGTGGCCAAATGTACATACTCAGTACACTATAGGAGAGGCCATGCATATTTATGAAAAGAGAAACGTGTATGCACAACTGAGCTTCATGCCCCTTCATGGGTCCCGTGTACAAAAAATGGCTGCATCAGCATGATCTGAGGGTGGAGTTTTCAGCTCTCTGGTGTCAAAAGATGAAGCAGAGGGTGTGAAAACCCTCACTGTGCATTCTCCGTAGACTGGCCAGAACCACTTCACGGTCGGTGGCCTCTTGTCAGGCAAAAAAGAGGGGCAGTGTTGGGCAGTTAATTGGTTGATATCAATGGTGGAGTCTTTTGAAACGGCTAGTTTCTCTTAAGCCCTTAGGAAAGAGTGCCTAATGGTGGCTAGCAAGGAGGGGATATAATGAGTTGTGTCTGACCTCCCATCCTGTCATGGCTGAGAACTTAGCTTTAAAGGTTTACCCTGGGTGTCCCTTTGGCCAAGAGGGAGTCCATTCAGTCAGTTGAGGGGCTTAAGATTTCACTTTTGTTTCTCACTTATCAACTTGTACTATATATACATGAATTGACTGTTTTGGAGTAGGAGTCTCACTTATTAGGGTACTTCTTGAAAGCTCTGGATCCCAAGAGCCACGTCCTATAGGCTATGAAGTCTGGCCCAGCAATCTCTGACTGCTTAATAAAATCTTGCTAAATGGATCCAGGGCTTGTATTCACCAATATCAAGAGCTTCACCTGATATCCTTGGGAAAGCCTCTCCTTGACCCACTCAGAAGACAGTTCCTTGCCTGTTTTTTCATATCTGTAAAATGAGCTGTGTGATCCATTTGATCTTTTATAAGCCGGTTTCCAGAATAACCTTCAACTAAAGCTAAAGGGCATGTTCTTAAACCTTCTTTGAAAACATTTTAAATCATGCTAATAATAGACCCCCATGCAAGAATAGTAATAATGTGACTTTAACTTACATTGAAATCCAATTATCATATGTTTTTGGATCTTTTTCATTCAGATGTTACAGTGGTTTATCAAAATGGGTTACCTGTGATATCTGTGAGGCTACCATCCCGGCGTGAACGCTGTCAGTTCACACTCAAGCCTATCTCTGACTCCGTTGGTGTATTTTTACGACAACTGCAAGAAGAGGATCGGGGAATTGACAGAGTTGCTGTCTATTCACCAGGTATAGTCACCATCATTATTAATTACCATCTACCCCTCATTTCACCCCACAGCAATTTCTAGACACATACATACACCATACACGTAGCTACAAAAGAACCCTATACTGTTAACTTCAGAAAACTTTTTTCTTTTGCTTAGCACTTACCAGGAGAGAAAGTGATTTCTCTCCCAGTAGTACTCAGAGTATAATTGATCGATTTTAGCAAATGTGTATGCACAGGGAATCTCATTCAAAAGCATCTCACATATAATGCCATGAGCAAGGATGAACAGTCAATCACATTTTATATTATCGAGACTTTTTATCATTACTTTAGGTGTAGAATAAATACTTCCAGTAGTTAAACCCTCATGTCTGGAAAGAAAAGTTTGCCAAAATAAAGAAGTATATGATTTGAAAAGAATATAAAATAAGGCACTAAAAATTACCATTTTATGTATTTCATTTATTTATTTTTTAAGTTTTTTAATTTTTTTCCCATTTTTAAGTTTTTTTCCCATTGTTTTTTTCCCCATTTTTACTTTAAAATTTTTTAAATCTACAGAAAACTTGAAAGATTAGTACAATAAATGCCCATTTACCCTTCACCTGGATTCACCAGTTAACAATTACCACATTTCTACTCATCTGACAATATAATTAGTAGACCAGCGTGGTGGATGTATAATACTTTGTTAACCCCAGCATCTGTCTCTACTGAATTATTGGCAACTAATCAATGACTGTACTGAAGAGTACCATATGTCAAAAAATACTGGTTTTTTTTTTTTTTTTTGACTCAACCAGCTTCCATTATGGACAATGTTAAGTCCATACAGCTCTCCCAGTGACCCTAGATTTCCAATGTACACCTACAGAACTATGACCGTTAATTATTTCACTTGCTCATGTAGTTCACAGGAGAAGCTGTTGTTAAATCTTCACAAACTCGAGTCCTAGAAACAGAGCTTTAGGCAACCTAAACTTTGCATAGAACTGGGAAATGAGGTAAAAAGTTAACTGAAATTTAAAAAGGAGGAGGTAATTTTTAAAAACTATTTTGAAGATTGAATTTTCCTGACCATTCTTGAATAATTATGGACCTATGACAAGTTTCATTTGAAATTTTCACAGATGGTGTTCGTGTTGCTGCTTCAACAGGAATAGACCTCCTCCTCCTTGATGACTTTAAGCTGGTCATTAATGACTTAACATATCACGTACGACCACCAAAAAGAGGTAAAATAGTAACCTTGGTAAGGTCACAGAAATGTGGGAAGGGCTTTTGGAAAGAACTTTATTTTTTTTCCTTGGGTAACCTTGAGAAACAGACAATATTCAAAGAACACTGAAAGAGCTCATTGAGTACCTGGCACTTGACTAGTACATTGACTAAAATCACTTAGATTCTGCCTTGACTAAAATCACTTAGATTCTGCCTAGATGCCAGAATGCTTTATTATCTGACATTGTCACTCTGTTTCACATAAATGAATGTCCTACATAACTGAAGCTCCTTCCCTTCATAAAGGCCAAAAGTCGTACTACTTTAATAACATTACAGGGGATATCTTTTTAAAATAAGCTGTAGGCTTCTCTGTTCTCTTAAGTGTTGTAATAAGTATTGAGCTTTTTTTATGGCTCAAGGTCAGCAGTCTGAAAGTCAATTATTGTACAATAATAATAGTTCTTAGGAACTTCTGACATGATGCATGGTTGGTTGTTTTTTTGGTTTGTTTGTTTTGTTTTTTGTTTGTTTTGAGACAAGGTCTCACTCTGTCACCCAGGATGGAGTACAGTGGCATAATCACAGCTCACTGCAGCCTCGACCTCAAATTATCCTCCTACCTCATCCTCCCAAGCAGCTGGAGTAGCTTGGACTACAGGCATACAGGCATGTGCCACCATGCCTGGATAATTTTTTTTATTTTTGTAGAGATAAGGTCTCACTATGTTGCCTAGGCTGGTCTTGAACTTCTGGGCTCAAGCACTCCTCCCTCTCTGGCCTCCCAGAGTGTTGGGATTATAGGCATGAACCACTGTTCACAGCCTGTATATGCTTTTATGGGAAAAGGAAAGGTGCTTGCCTCAGACACAAATTTTAAGAGGGCACCAAACAACTCAGTAATCAAGATAAAGAATTGTTGTTTTGTTTTTGTTTTGTTTTTAAGAGTCTTGCTCTGTCGCCCAGGCTGGAGTGCAGTGGCGTGATACTGGCTTACTGCAAGCTCCACTTCCCAGGTTCAAGCTAGATACGGGTTTCACCATATTTGTCAGGCTGCTCTTGAACTCCTGACCTCAGGTGATCTATCTGCCTTGGCCTCCCAAAGTGCTGTGATTACAGGCATGAGCCACTGTGCCCAGCCGCCAGGCTAATTTTCGTTTTTAGTAGATATGGGGTTTTGCCATGTTGGCCAGAATGGTCTTGAACTCCTGACCTCAAGTTATCCACCTGCCTCAGCCTCCCAAAGTGCTGAGATTATAGGCATGAGTTACCGCACCCAGCAAGATAAATGGTATTTTAATGTACTACTTTAAAAAAACAGAGTTAATGCAAACAATGCATGATGAATAAAATTTTAAATAAAGACAGAGTCAGTATTGCTAATATTTCTTTTCATCCTGGTCTCTACTGTGGCTCTGCACAGTACAATGCTAAGTAGCCCTCTAAAATAGCGTTTTGAGTTGTGTCTTTTTTGGTCCTGTTTCTCTATTTGCCCTTGATATTCATTGTTACTCACTGCTGTTGTTAATGCCCCTTCCACCACTCCTTCCACCAGCGCCATAGGACAGCAGTTCCCAACCTTTTTGGTACCAGGGACCAATTTTGTTAAAGATAATTTTTCCACTGACAGTGGTGGCAGGGGCAGAGGCAGTGGTTTTGGAATGAAACTGTTCATGTCAGATCCTCAGGCATCAGTTAGATTCTCATAAGCAGCACACAACCTAGATCCCTCACATGCACAATTTACAATAGGGTTTGTGCTCCTGTGAGATCTAATGCTGCTGCTGATCTGACAGGAGGTGGAGTTCAGGCAGTAATGCTTACTGGCTGGCCTCCTCCTTTGTAGCCTGGTTCCTAACAGGCCACTGACCAGTACTGGTTCGCACCCCAGGGGTGGGGGACTGCTGCTGTAGGACATTCCTTCTTTTCAATCCTGCTTTTAGGAATTGGGTTTAGGCCTGGTAAGGTGGCTCACACCTGTAATCCCAGCACTTTAGGAAGCCGAGGCAGGAGGATTGCTTAAGACCAGGAGTTTGGGACCAGCCTGGGCAACACAGTGGCAACCAGCCTGGGCAACACATCTTTAAACAAAAAAAAAGAGAAAGAATTGGTTGTAACATAGAAAAGTTCTGAGTGAAACCCTGTTATGAAATTCCTCTATAATCTGGTCCACATCTACCTTTTAAAATGTTTTCTTTCCCTCTTACATGTTGCCTACTTTTTCTCCACTGTGTATTCCTTTATGGTTTCCTGAACTATGCCCTGTTCTTTCCCATCTCACTATTTGCTCACTTTCTTCTGCCTAAGATGCCTTTCTTCCTAACCCCCGTTTTCTCAAGTCAAAATGGTCAATATTGACTCTTCCAGTAAGCCTTTAATGATCATACTCTTTCCTTCTCTGACCCCTGACCAACCAAAAGTGATAAATATCTTCTCTGAATTTTGCTTCATCCTTTTCTTTGATGCTCTGAGGGAAGGCACTGTGATTTCATATTCCCCATTGATTCCATCTATATTGAGTGAATTAAATGTGTTCGCTGGGTAGCATTTTGATTGTGCAGAGGCCATATTCACTTTCTTTAAGCTAGATGAGAGGGGGCTAGCTGGGAGAAAGTATAGAAAAGTATCCTTAAATAGTAAGAATGGAAAGATATTCTTTACATACAGTTGACTGTTGAACAAAGCAGATTTGAAAAAACTTGCAAACGAACCACATAACCTAGAAATATCCAAAAAATTAAGAAAAGTTAAGTATGTCATGAATGCATGAAATATATGTAGATACAAGTCTATCTTATTTTATTTTATTTTGTTTTTGAGACGGAGTCTCTCTCTGTCCCCCAGGCTGGAGTGCAGCGGTGCAATCTCAGCACACTGCAACCTCTGCCTCCTGGGTTCAAATGATTCTCCTCCCTCAGCCTTCCTGTAACTGGGATTATAGGCACACATGTTTCACCATGTTGGCCAGGTGACCTCAAACTCCTGACCTCAGGTGATCCACCCACCTTGGCCTCCCAAAGTGCTGGGATTACAGGCCTGAACCACCACGCCCTTCCTATTTTTTATCATTTACTACCATAAAATATATACATATCTATTACAAAAAGTTAAAAATTATCAAAACGTATGCACACACAGACCATGCATGATGCCATTTGCAGTTAAGAGAAATGTAAAGATGCAGTATTTAATAATGTCTGCATAAAATTGACTCTAGTACATAGTATACTACTCTAGTGATTTCATAGCCACCTCTTGTTGCTGTTGCTGTAAACTCAAGTGTTTTTGATATCAGCTTAAAATGCTGTGTGATGCTAATTATCTCCTCATGGGTAGTTCATTTCTCTAGTAAATTGTCTATTGCAGTAAAAATTGATCTCTTGCAGTTCTTGAATTTTTTTGTGTGTTTAGTCCACCTTGAATAACACCATGGGACCTATATGAAGTGATGCTGGAAGTGCTCCCAAGAAGCAGAGAAAAGTGATGACATTGCAAGAAAAACTTGGATTGCTTGATATGTACCGTAGACTGAGGTCTGCAGCTACGGTTGCCCATCATTTTAGACAGATGATTTATCTTGCAAACAGACAATGTAAACTTACAATGTAAATAAATACAGTATAGCACTATAAATTTATTTTCCCTTTATGATTGTAATGTTTTCTTTTCTCTAGCTTACTTTACTGTAAGAATACAGTATATAATACATATATAAAACATTTGTTAATTATGTTATTGGTAAGGCTTCTGGTCCAGGTAGGCTATTAGTAGTTAAGTTTTTGAGGTTTCAAAAGTTGTAGGGGGGTGGTGCCCCAACCTCGCCCCCCAACCACATTGTTCAAGAGTCAACTGTAGTAAGGCATTATCGAATCAGATTTTATGAACTTGGAATAATTAAACATGTAGACCAGGGACAGTTAGCCATATATCAGCTATGCTAATGTGTTTTTCTTCTTTATTCCCTGATTCTCAGGCTAGAAGTTCTCTTTAAAATAACAGAAGTACAGGTCCTATTTTACTGAGGTGTGTTTTTGTGTGAATTGCCTAGAGAGTTCATCTGTTTAGATTTTCTATTGGTAACATTCCGAAAGTTCACTAATATATTCCTATTAAGTATAACAATCAGGAAAGTTAAGATGTGAGTTTCCATATATTATGTTGTCAAAAACTAAAGGTATTTTAATCAATTAATAAATACCAACCATTTCTGTAATAACTGTATTTTTTAAACAGAAATGAATGTTTAGTTTTTTAAATAAAGCTTTTCTCAAATTGAATAAGAAAAGGTAGAAATTGAAAAAACAGGGGATTGTATTTGATTCCCTGGTGATTTGGCAGCCTAAAACAACCCATTGCTTTATCTGTATCCAGGAACTGTGGAGTATCTACCTTGCTTTTCTAGAAGTAAATTAGGGTATGAAGCTTGCAAGGGTCAAAAATCTGTAATTCATGGAAATAATCGTAAATTGAAGTGTGGACTTTAGTAACTCAGTAGCAGCATTGGTGTAGAATTTCAAAAGACCTTTTTAACGTTTAGATACACACATCATAGCTCTCTTAGTTCTGTTATTCTATAGTGAGATTATGCCATCAGATACCATCTCTCACAGAAACTCAATATGATTTTAAATCCATAAACACTTTGTTTTCCTTGATCTTAACTTTAATTATTTTTTTGAGACAGGGTCTCACTCTGTCACCCAGGCTGGAGTGCAGTGGCGTGATCACAGCTCATTGCAGCCATGACCTCCCAGGCTCAAGCAGATCCTCCCACCTCAGCATCCCAAGTAGCTAGGACTACAAGCACACGCCACCATGCCTGGCAAAATTTTTTTTTTTGTAGAGATGAGGTTTCCCTATGTTGCCCAGGCTGTGTTTTCCCTCTTTTTTTTTTTCTTTTCTTTTCTTTTTTTGAGATGGAGTCTTGCTCTGTTGCCCAGGCTAGAGTGCAGTGGTGCAATCTCGGCTCACTGCAAGCTCTGCCTCCCGGGTTCATGCTATTCTCCTGCCTCAGCTTCCCAAGTAGCTGGGACTACAGGTGCCCGCCACCATGCCCAGCTAATTTTTTTGTATTTTTAATAGAGATGGGGTTTCACCATGTTAGCCAGGATGGTCTCGATCTCCCGACCTCGTGATCCGCCCTCCTTGGCCTCCCAAAGTGCTGGGATTACCGGCATGAGCAACTGCGCCTGGCCTTTCCCTGGTTTTTAAACATAGTAAAGAAAATCTTTTTTTCTCCTTTTGATAAAATGCAAAGTAGGCTCAAATTTTGTTTCTACCTTGTGTCTTTCTGTCCCTGGTTGAGGAAGGTATTGCTGGCATCCAAGGTACCACCACTCTTTTTCAGCTGACTACAGTAAGAGAGTGGTTTGAAATTCTGTATTTAAGAGGGATGCCATTCATTGAATAAGCATGTTCCTTTGCCCTGTGTTGCAACGCTTTAGTGGAAGGGCTAAATGGAGGAAAGAGATAGAAGGCACTAGGTTTAGGATGTTTAAGAGGAATAATACTAGAGTTTCTTTGTGTTTTTTTGTTTTTTGTTTCGTTTTGAGGCTGGGGTATAGTGGCGCAATCTCGACTCACTGCCACCTCCACCTCCTGGGTTCAAGCGAGTCTCCTGCCTCAGCCTCCCCAGTAGCTGGGATTACAGGCGTGCACCACCATGCCCAGCTAATTTTTGTATTTTTAGTAGAGATAAAATTTCATCATGTTGGCCATACTGGTCTAAAACTCCTGACCTCGTGATTTGCCCACCTTGGCCTCCCAAAGTGCTGGGATTACAGGTCGTGCCCAGCCAATACTATAGTTTTATATATACATGGAGAAGATGGAACAAATCTGCTTTATCTAATAAAATAGTTCATGAAAGGGGACTGAACTTGCAGAAGAAATTTAATATTGGTATAGTAGAAGCACTGTAATGTAGCCACAGGCCTAGAAATCAGGAGACGTGGACTCTACCCCTTACTGTGCCATTTTGGACAAGTTACTTCAGCCTCCTAGAGTGCAGTTTCTTCTTCTGGTAACTTTAAGGCTATATGCAAATGTGAGCAGCAGCTTTGGTACAAGGAAGACACTGTTGACATAGATGACTTCTGGAACTCAAAGTGCTCTTCCTTTTATGTTCCCATTAATTCAGCACACATTTACTGAGGCATACAAGATACCCAGCTAGGTGCTATATCCCGTTTTACTATATCGGCTCTTCTCTAATCCAGTTTGCTACCTTCTTTTGAATTTTTTCATTGATCGAACTTCTATAATAACTGTACTAAAGGACATCCTTAAAGAATGTTCGAAATACATGGTTAATTCTGACTGTGGCTTGTTTTGTTTAGAAGAGTGCTACCCTTATGCTGTACCTAACATTGAAAGCTAGTAAGAATCTAAAAAAAAAAGTGCTTTAAAAAAAAAATGGACAGCTTTAGTCAGCAGAGTTTTTATTTGATTCTGAAAACATAATTTTTAGATTTCTAGAAATACATGCTACTCATAGTAGAGGATATTGAATGAAAGAACTTAATCTTTCACCCTTTCAGTTGTTCTCATAACTTCATACCCTTTAGACCATGATACTGAGGCTCCTACAGCTATTCTCTGTCTTTCCTCATCAGGAATGAATAAAAGTTGGTATACTAGGGAGAAGAAGAATGAGAGTTAAGATTATTAGAATGGGCCAGGCACAGTGGCTCACGCCTGTAATCCCAGCATTTTGGGGGGTTGAGGTGGGTGGATCACGAGGTCAGGAGATAGAGACCATCCTGGCTAACACGGTGAAATCTCGTCTCTACCAAAAATTACAAAAAATTAGCCCGGCATGGTGGCAGACACCTGTAGTCCCAGCTACTACTCAGGAGGCTGAGGCAGGAGAATGGCGTGAACCTGGGAGGCAGAGCTTGCAGTGAGCGAGATTGCACAACTGCACTCCAGCCTGGGTGACAGAGCGAGACTCCGTCTCAAAAAAAAAAAAAAAAAAAAAGATTATTAGGATGATGGCATTTTTATTTATGCCTTTGTATTTGCAAATTTGAAATACTATATATTTTTCCCTTAGGACTTACTAAGGGGAAAAAAATCAATTAAAATGGCAGGACTACAGATAAATTATAGTCACCATTTTAATAAGCATAATAATCAGATTGATTCTAAACCTCTCTACTAGTTTTTAACAGTTGCTTTAATTTTGTCTTTATCTAATGAAGATCATTATTATTTGTATTATTTTTCTTAATGTTAATCATACCCTCATTTGTAGCATTTAGACTTCCAAGAATATAATGGTAGGTATTTGTTTCAAATTTTTTTAGTTACCCAAATACGAATTTACTTTTTTTTTTTTTTTTTTTTTGAGGCGGAGTCTTGCTCTGTCTCCCAGGCTGGAGTGCAGTGGTGCAATCTCGGCTCACTGCAAGCTCTGCCTCCCGGGTTCACGCATTTCCCTACCTCAGCCTCCTAAGTAGCTGGGTCTACAGGCGCCCGCCACCACACCCAGCTGATTTTTTGTATTTTTTTTTTTTTTTTTAGTAGAGACGGGGTTTCACTGTGTTGACCAAGATGGTCTTGATTCCCTGACCTCGTGATCATTTGCCTGCCTTGGCCTCCCAAAGTGCTGGGATTACAGGCGTGAGCCACCGGGCCCAGCCATGAATTAACTTTTTACACTTGTGGACAACTTTTTTGTTTTAACAAAAACTATAGGCTGGGCATGGTGGCTTACGCCTGTTACACCAGCACTTTGGGAGGCCAAGGCAGGCAAATCGCTTGAGCCCGGGAGTTTGAGACCAGCCTGGGCAACATGGTGAAAACTTGTCTGTACAAAAAATACAAAAATTAGCCAGGCTTGTGGCTGGTGTGCACCTGTAGTCCCAGCTATTCAGGAAGCTAACCTCAGAGGATTACTTGAGCCCTGGAGGTAGGGGCTGCAGTGAGCCAAGATCACACCACTACACTCCAGCCTGGGTGATAGAGTAAGACATTGTCTCAAAAAAAAAAAAAGAGAACTATTACTTTCCTTCAGTTTAACACGGAAGGCGAGATACCTATAATGGATCAGTCTGCCTCATGTGATAGTCCTAGGAATAGTAATCATTTAAGGCATACATTTTTTAAAAAATGTAACTCCTTTGTTTCAGACCTCTTAAGTCATGAAAATGCAGCAACGCTGAATGATGTAAAGACGTTGGTCCAGCAGCTATACACCACACTGTGCATTGAGCAGCACCAGTTAAACAAGGAAAGGGAGCTTATTGAAAGACTAGAGGATCTCAAAGAGCAGCTGGCTCCCCTGGAAAAGGTAAAACTTCAAATCTCAGGTTTTTCACCTTACCTGTGTTTTTTCCAGAGCATATATGTTTCTGTTTTTTCTTGTAAGTTTTATGCAGTTGAGTCATGTCAATCAAATTAGTTCTTTAGTTTATGGGACTGAACCATAAAAAAGTTTAAGTCAAAGCTGAGAAAGGGCTGAAAAAGGAATTGTTTGGAGCCTTGATAATGGACTTAAGAGCTTTCAGTTCTGAATGTACTGCCCTTAACCAGATTTACCACCTTTAAAATTAAGATCAGAATAATTGCTGATCAGGAAAGGCTCTTGAGTATAGTGGATAATGATTTTAGCCAAGTTAAGAAGGAATATTACAGTTGGCCCTCTGTTATCTGTAGGTTCTACATTCGCAGATTTAACCAACCTCAGATAGAAGATATTTGGTAGGGGGTGAGGGGACAATAAAACATAACAAGGCTGGGCATGGTGGCTCACACCTGTAATCCCAACGCTTTGGGAGGCCAAGGCAGGCCGATCACCTGAGGTCAGGAGTTTGAGACCAGCCTGCCCAACATGGCAAAACTCCATCTCTACTAAAAATATAAAAATTATCCGGGCGTCATGGCATCATTTGCCTATAGTCCCAGCTACTCAGGAGGTTGAGGCACAAGAATCACTTGAACCCAGGAGGCAGAGGTTGCAGGGAGCCAAAATTGCACTACTGCACTCTAGCCTGGACGACAGAGCAAGACTCTGTCTCAAAAACAAACAAAACAACAACAACAAAAAAGAATACAAATTTTAAAAATCAATACAATAACTACATAGCATTTACATTGTATTATAAGTAACTAGAGATGATTTAAAGCATATGGGAATATATGTATAGGTTATATGCAGATACCATCCCATTTTATATAAGGGACTTTAACATTTATGTATTTTGATATCTTGGTTTGGGGGGTATCCTGGAACCAATTCACCACAGATACCTAGGGACAACTGTATATAGACTATTATGCAACTATTAAAGGGACTATATAGATTTTATTTGCCATAGAAACCAAATTATAAAATAGTATGCATACTATGATCCAGTTTTTAAATGTATTATGTATATACCTATACGCATTTATATATATACATACACAAAGAAATCAGAAGGAATACGTTCCAAAATGCTAGTACAGTAGTCGGGTTATGACTGATTTTTCTTTACACGTTTCTGAATGTTTACAATGAATATATGTTACCTTTATTTTTTCTATGATATTTCAATTTTAAGAAATCAGATTGTAAGGAGTAAGGAAGGGAACAAAGACTCTTAGTCGTTTGCATTTTCTGATTCCTGAAAAAGAATTTTCATCGTTTATAGAATATTTACTATGTTTCGTGAATTGTGCTAGTATTTTACCTATATTTTCTTATTTAGTCTTCGGAACAACTCTTTAATGAAGTTAATGGTGATTTGCAGATCAAGGCTCTGAATTGAGCTGCTTTAAATCCAGAGTCCGTGTTCTGTCCCTAGTATATCACTGGAGTTAAAACTGAGAATAGATTAAATCGTGTATGCAACAGTGAAAGAATATAGGTATGTGTGCATTTCCCTCTTTCAGAGAAGATAATCTTGTGATTGGATGAAGACCTGTTAGTTTTATTCATGCCCATATTTTCACCCACTTCTAGGGTGAAACATAAAATACAAATGCCCTAAATAGTAGTTATACTTACATGTATATATATATTTTTCAAGGCGGTTTCATTCATTCACCCAGGCTGGAGTGCAGTGGTATGATCTTGACTCACTGCATCCTCCAGTTCCTGGGCTCAAGCGATTCACCCACCTCAGCCTCCCGATAGCTGGGACTACAGGGATGTGCCACCATGCCCTGCTAATTTTTGTATTTTTTGTAGAGATGGGATTTCGCCATGTTGCCCAGGCTGGTCTTGAACTCCTGGGCTCAAGCAAGCTGCCCACCTTGACCTACCAAAATGCTGGGATTACAGATGTGAGGCACTGCATCTGGCCTAAGATATTTTATTCAGTGAAAACTGCAGATACTATTTAGGAAGACAAGCTATATTTACTAGAACTGAGACTTGTGTCTTGATTATGAGCCCTGTTTCTTTAGTGAACATAGAACAGTTTAAACCTTTTTAAATTGGTGTTATGTCAAAATGCCTTACAATTATGTGTGCCCAATAGGTACGAATTGAGATTAGCAGAAAAGCTGAGAAGAGGACCACTTTGGTGCTATGGGGTGGCCTTGCCTACATGGCCACACAGTTTGGCATTTTGGCCCGGCTTACCTGGTGGGAATATTCCTGGGACATCATGGAGCCAGTAACATACTTCATCACTTATGGAAGTGCCATGGCAATGTATGCATATTTTGTAATGACACGCCAGGTAAGAATTCCTCTTCAAGTAACTTTTTATGAGCTAGTAATAAAGTTTTAATTTTCAAAAGAGTTTTCTCTTTTTTCTCATTTTCTAATGCCAGTTTTCTTTAAGTACTCATCCTTTACACACATACACACACGTGTGCCACTTGTGTATTAGGCAATATTCCAAGCAAGTGCTATAGATTGAGAGGTAGATAAAAGACATGGATGACAGTTGCGTCTCATATTTAATATGGCTGCTGTTGAACATATGCATTTTCTTTCTGTTGTTAGATCAGTGGTCACAACCTATTTGTGTTTGAGAAAATGACAGCACAAGAATGTTATTTAACCTATCTTGGCCTTCCAAATGTGTCTAATAGAGAAGAAAGTAAACTGTTTTATGTCCTACAATTGCTTGCTCAGACTTCTTAGCACCTAGTGGCATGTCTGGCTCATACTAGTCACTGTGAACAGAACTGAACAGTCACATCATTCTTATCTGATCACAGCTCTGGGCATGGCTTGCATCTGTCTGTGACATTTCTCTCTCTGTCTCTCTCTCTGTGTGTGTGTGTGTGTGTGTGTGTGTGTGTGTGTGTGTATCTTTAGCGCTTGCTCTCTTGTGCTCTCTCTCTCTTCTCTCTCATTTACACACACTTTTAATGGCTTCTTTTTATCTACTGATTTAAGTCCAAACTCCTTAGCCTGGGTATTTATAACAGGTTGCTATCTGTCCTTTTCAGATGTCTCTCAACTCCTCTGTGTATGTTCTAAACAAGCCAAATTCTATTCTCTATTCCCCACAGTGACCTGAGTTTTCCACCCTTTTGTTCCTTCCTTCACATCATTCTTTCAACTGGGAAAGTTCTCCCTGTTGATCTCTACCTGTCATCTTTCAAGGTTTACTTAAATGTTTATCTTTCATGAACCTTTGACCAATTCCTTGTAGCTAACTTTGATCTCTCCCTCTTCTAAATTCCTATAACATATTGTGCCCCTCATTTTACTCATCCCATGTGCTCCCTTTTATTGTAATTATTATATGCTTTCTTTTTCTCTGTGCTAGACTGTAGTATCTTTTTTTTTTTTTGGAGATGGAGTCTGTCACCCAGCCTGGAGCACAGCGGCACGATTTCTGCTCACTGCAAGCTCCTCTGCCTCCTGGGTTCACGCCATTCTCCTGCCTCAGCCTCCTGAGAAGCTGGGACTACAGGCGCCTGCCACCAAGCCTAGCTAATTTTTTTATATTTTTACTAGAGATGGGGTTTCATCGTGTTCAACAGGATGGTCTCGATCTCCTGACCTCGTGACCCGCCCGCCTCAGCCTCCCAAAGTGCTGGGATTATAGGCGTGAGCCACCGCACCCAGCCTAGACTGTAATATCTCTTGAGGCTAAGCATTTGGTTTTATTCAGTTTTTATTTCTAAGATCTTATTTCTAAGACTTAAGTCTTAAAAGTCTAAAAGACTTAGACTTAAGTCTTTTAGATAAAAGGCACATGTTACACAGTGATTTATATCTACATTCCCTTAGGCACTGTGTAACATGTGCCTTACATCTAAAATACTAAATGAACTGAACATATCAAATAAATGACACAATGCTTTGGGAGGCCAAGGCAGGAGGATCACTTGAAGCTAGGAGTTTGCAACATAGCAAGACCCTGTCTCTACCAAAAAACAATTTTTTTAATTAGCCAGGTGTGGTGGCATATGCCTATAGTCCTAGCTACTTGAGAGGCTGAGGCAGGAGGATCACTTGAGGCCAGGAGTTTGAGGTTACAGTGAGCTGTGATCATGCCCCTGTACTCCAGTGACAGTGCAAGACCCTGTGTCATAAGTAAATAGATATATAACAGCCATGTTTTCAGCCAAACACTAATTTTTTCCAGTTATACCTTAAATCTAATGATCACCCTTGATATATCTCTTGCTGATTAATTGGGTACAAAATGGTGGTATTTCCTTGTGGAATTTGCAGTTCCTTGATTACTGAAGAGGTAAAGCATTCTTTCCACTGTGAGATACCCATACCTTTTGCTTGGTCATTACTGTTAAGTACCTTTTGCTAAGCCTTATTATGTGTTAAGCATTTTACATCTAGTAACATAAGTACATATATTCATATATTTAACCTCAACCGTGTAAGTATTTATATATCCCCATTCCATAGATGAGGAAACTGAGTCTCCAAGAGGTTAAGTAATCTGCCCAAACATTATATCTAGTTCACTGTAGGACAAGGAATTGAACCCAGATTAGTGTGACTCTGTAGGCTGCTCACTTTCTACTCAATTATACTGCCTTCCGTTTAGTTCATTTATGAGGAGTAACTTTTGAAAACTATAATTAGAATAGAAATAAAAATATATTGGGGAAATAATTACTGCTTACAAAAAGCTGTTTTGTAAATGTTTTCTGTATTAGACTTGAATACAGTGTTACCACTTTCTCCCTTTTCATGCTGCTGTAGAATCTTTAATGCCTTACCTGTCCTACTAGTTAAATGCTCCATTCTGTGATTCCCAAAATAGTCTTGCTGCCCTCAAGTGACAAGTTGCAAAATAGCAGTAGTAAACAATTTAGTCACTATTCACTTATGAATAGGAAAACAGTGACCAAATAAAATGTAGTTTTCACATTAAATATTTTTACTAACATATCCATCTTAATACCCCGAAGCAAATGCCTGTTCAGTGGCATTTAAACTCTTCTAAACTGCTGTTACTACGAGTTGCTGTACTTGTTAGCAATCTAAATATATGCCAATAATATGTTAAGTTCCAAAGAATCTTTCTAAGATGGCAAGCTCCTTGAAATCATAAAATCAAATGGAATATTGAGTATTGTTGATTAATATTTCAGTAGAACCTGAGTACTGATTTCTACTATGTAGAAAAGGAGCTGGGCAGTAAGACTTGCCTGTGGGAGCTGTGTCATCGTGCACATGGGCCAGCCGCCCCACTATCTGGCCCATGCCTTTTCAATGAAGGGGATGATATTGCCTCATGGGAGTGAGCATTGATTCTTGGGGAGTAAAAACATTTTACATATTACAATGCATAAACAGATAAACAGTATATTAAACCTCCTTTGGGAAGTAGGAGTAATCAGGAAAAAATGCCTTAAAAGGCTACTTAGGGGGGCAATAATGAAAAAAGTGTTCATAAATAGTGACCTAGCCTTTAATACCCTTTACCTCCTCAATTCCAATAACCATCATTTATATTGTATTCCAGCAAACCACTTCAATGGCTGTTCAGGGCCTTCTTTCCTAGAACTGTCCCACTTATAATATAAATTAGTATGTTAATTTCTGATAATTTATTTTCTTTCTAGACCTTTTATTCACTCACTCACTCCTTTGACCTCATCCAGACCTTTAAGCTACTGGCATCTTTCTCTTAACTTTTTACTATCACCTTCCTCCTGTATCACTTCCTTTTCTGTCCGATTTAAACTGCGTTGTCATTCTCTTTTTAGTATCCTACCATCCCTGCCCTTTTGTCTTTCTACAGTATGTACTCCATAAACTCCTAATATTGGATTAATCTAGTCCTTTATCCTATCTATGTCTAGGCTATTAAATATTGCTAGAGAAAAATCATGTCATAGTGTAGAACGGGCCACTGCTTGTGTTTCTAATCACGTTTTCTTCCCTCATATCCCCATAGTAGTTATTCTAAGACTTCACATCAAGATCCCCATCCCACCCTTAACCTTACCTCCTACTTCTCCTAGAAAATTGAAATTAACAGATAGAAGCTTTCTAATTCTTAAGACTGTAAATGCAACTATATCTGTACCGAATTTTACACTATTTCCATCAAATTCCAAGAAGAGGTGGCATTTTCCTATTTAGGGCTAGCCCCTCCACATGTTCTTAGTCCCGTTCCTTCCTCCTAGTATCTTATTCCAATTTATTTTTTGTATTCCCTGTGTTTTCAACCTCTCCCTCCGACTTTCTTTCCTAATGAAATTATCTGCATCTTTTCTCACTTACTATCAAATCACAATTTTTTTTTTTTTTTTGAGACAGGGTTTTACTCTGTCTCTTAGGCTTGAATGCAGTGGCATAATCACAGCTCACTGAAGCATCTACCTCCCAGACCCAAGCAATTCTCCCACGTCAGCCTCATGAGTACCTGAGATTGTAGGCATGTTCCACCATCCCCAGCTAATTTTTAAAAATTTTTCGTAGACAGGGTTTCCCTACGTTGCCCAGGCTGGTCTCGAACTCCTGAGCTCAAGTGATCCTGCACCTCAGCCTCGCAAAATGCTAGGATTACAGGCATGAGCCACTGCACCCAGCCCAAATCACAGAAATTTTAGAAGAGTCTAGTACATAGTTGCTCAGTAAATGCTGGTTGCCCAAAAGAGGAAGCACAGAATAGATTTGAATAAACTTAATTAGTGTGTATATTTACATCCTAAGGGAACATAGGTGAATAGCCTAGTAACAGCATGTTAGATGAATGTAGAGGGCTTTCCCTCAAGTTCTTAATCCACTAATTATCCCTTCAGTCGATTCAGACCTCGATTTTATTCATTTTAAAAAGGTTTCCACAAACACTTTAGCTATCAGTCTTCCAGTATCTATTATCTGTCATCATCAATAATTAAATATTTACTCTGTTTCTAGTTGTAGCATACTAGGCAATCAACCAGTCCTTCCACTAAGAAAAGTTAGAATTGTTAGACAAAACAATACACATCTGCTTGAAGATACTAGAGAACTAACAAAATAGCAAAAATTGCTAGGTGAGGGTCTAAATAAGAAGAGTTCCAGGAAGATGAGACTAGTATTTAGGTGTGCTTTTTCCTCTGGTAATTTATGCTAATTGAGGAGGGTATAGTGGAGAGGCCAAGAAGCTGAGCCACACTTGTTAGCCTAGAGGAACCGCAGCCTTAGAGATTGGTGTCTAATGATCACTAGAGTAGGTGAAACAGAAACCGTCTTGCTTTGATTTGGAACCTGTAAAGGCTACCATTGTAGAATAAGGATGAACCTGTTATAGGCTCT